TCTTTTTAATTTGTTGACGTGTATTTCTTTGGTTGCAGAACTTTATTTGTTGCCTTGGCTTATTCGGCTCTAAATAAGGAGTGGGAAGCAATTATTTTATATGATCGTGCTAGAGAATACAATGCTCAAGCTAGAGCTTCATTGTCTCAATTAATACTGGACAAAGATGATATACTAATTGTAACTATTAAAGAAGTTACTGAGATGGATAATATTTTACGAGGTAAAAAATGCAAGGCTCGAGCTTCTTTGCATATACTACATGATGGATTAGATGATTCTAATCTGACCAAGAAAATGGGTGAAATGAGTTTTGATGGCAAATCCAAAGTGGACTCAAATATCGATAATAATGAGGTGACATTTCATTTTAATTATTTAGTTGAATTATTATTTAATTTCTCATCGTTAATCGCAAAGTGCATTAAATTTACTTTTTATTTAGATACCTTTAAGCGAGCGCCTTAATCAATATCCATCTAATTTATCAATGAATAATGCGCGGTTGATTAATTTTCCACCTGAATTTACTCCTATTCCCGCAAAACCGCTGTTCTTTGACATTGCCTTTAATTATGTTGATTTTCCTCTTACTTTATCTCAGCGTGCTGGTCGAAAAGCACAAACCAGTTTCTTGGAATCATTCTTAAATGTGCTAAAAAGTGATAAAAAGTAAATAACATAATATCGATATGTGAATTTAATATAATATTACTTATTAAAAAATAAGAGATTTTGTTCTCGATAAATTCATTGTTGAATAAAGGTTTCGGAATAATTTATAATAATATTTAATGAATTTATTTCCTAAATTTGATTAATGATTGCCAAGGGCTAGCTAATCGTTCCTATTATTATGATTTTTTAAATTTTGAATTTTGCCTTTCAAAATTAAAATCAAAAAAATTAAAATCACCAATATTAATATGGTTGATTTAATTAACCTTTAATAAAATACAATTGTATAAGATAATTCAATTTATTTCTTGTATGATTTAGATATATATATATAAATATATATATATATATTTTTTTTAAAAAAAAAGATCATTGTACTATAATACAAATTTATATCTACGCAGAATATTTCACTTTAATTTCCAAATTCATGAATTATATTTCTATTCGTCATTACTTACTTTATATAGAAGAATTTGTCATTTTTCATTCTTGAAAAATTATTGGATAATTATGACATCAATAAATCTGATAATAGAACTGACAAAAATAAATATAAGGCTTCATATAATTCTGCTTGTATTTTCATTTGCGCAGGAAAACGAACGAATACTTCAAACCTTGTTTGGGTTCCAAACAAAGATCTTTAACAAACAGAACTCTTCAATCTACAAGCT